TTAATTCTTTATATCCACTAATGCTTGTGAATTTTATGCATTTTCTGTTTATATGGTTGACTAAATTTTTCATGAGACATATAATAATGCCCCGATTTGTAATATATCAAAAGTCAACTACATATTGCATATGTTTAAATCCTAATATTGATCCAAAATCAAGAGTTTAAATTAGTAGATAGCTAGTCGACGAAACTCTTTTGGTTGATGTCATATAGCTATTTTAAAGAATGAATTCTTCCCATGCAATTATATGGATTAAGGATAGATATTTAAGGAAGTTATTGATTCGAAGTGTTTAATGATTAAAAATTTGAGTTTTTATATTAAAGACTTTAAATTTATATTTTAAAATGGATTAAGAAAGCTATCTCCTATTATATATTTTACTATAGAGTTATCCTCTATATTTTAAAAAGAATTATTTTTATTATATAATTTATTATAAAATGTACAAAAAAAAAATTCAGAAAGCTCAATTTTAATGCTAATGATTCAGCCTTGGATTCCTATATATATAATTCTCAGCAGTAAAGAGGTCCTTTTTTTCTCCCCTTTTTCTATACAAAGCAGGAAATTTCATTAAATAAGATTTAAGAGTTAATTAGACGAAAACTCATAAGCATCCGTGACTCGTGAGTATGCTTGTGGGTATGTATTTAGTTCTTCAGGGTCAACGCTACACGTCAAAGGCTAGACATAAACTGTGTGGAATATAAAGAGTTTTAGTACTTCATTTTTTTGTAATTTAGAGTGCATTAGACTTTAAAATTAGAATTATTAGATATAAAGGACAATTTTCAATATTAGAAAATCTAATTTTATTTAATAATTTAAATTGTATAATTTATTATTATTTAATTAAACTGTATAACATTTTTTTTATAATAATTCTCCTAGAAAGAACTCATTACTATTAATAATTTTATTTTGGATGTTAATTGATATATATCTAATTTAATGCATTACGCAAAATATTTATTAAAAAATTATTATTTTTTGATTTAAA